CAACACACTAAGTCTTTGAGTTCTTGAATCATCATCAAAATTAACAATCTTCATGTTCATCAAGTGCAACATCAAGTCCTTGAATGTTCAACAGACACATGTCTGTCGCCGCTTTGATGTCAAAGCTATGTCCCTCGACTGCCTTCAGTCTTTCCTCCAAGGCAGAGATCTATTGCTTGGACACCTCAGGGGTGTGAGTGTGCATTGCCCTGGTGTCAGATTGCACAGGGGCTTTTTGCTCGAAGAAGAACTCCTCTTCTTCTTCCTCCTCATGGCGAGAGGCTCGGTTGCCATGAGTTTCCCCTTTGTTTAGGTTTTGCCGGCGCATGACCTCCATTAATTGCATCATCTTCTCTCGGAGGGCGCTAGCCTCAGCAGTAAGTTTGTAGTTTTGTTCCTCCAAATGCTCCATAGCTCTCGCCTTCTGTGCACGGGTTCAGATGGGGAGAGGACCAGCCACTTTCTAAGATGCCGAAGAATGAATTTTTATTAATGAAAATGAATGATAGGTGTGGGATTAGTATCTTCTAAGATAATGACTTGGTATCATCTTAAAAGCTTACGCTTTGCGGAGTACCATACCCACTTTAGTGTAATGGTTCCTTCCCTATCATGGATTTGACAAGTATAACGAAGGTCACCATATATCTTAGTACATTGGTCCCTTCCTTGTGGATGGTTACAAATGTGCTCGTGGCCTTTTTCGTCTTTGTTTTTGAGATATCTAATGCCCCCTAGCATGAATGTGTTTATGCATGAGAGTTTTTATTAAAATGATGCTTATGCGTACTTTGCTTATGCATTTATTTTCTCTCTTCATTTTTCCACTTATGACATGATGCGATATGAATGATTTGACTTTGTCAAAAATCGTTTTATTCAAATTTATGAGTTTAATGTTTATGAACAAAGTCCATATTTTTTGGATTATTGGATTTATTTGATTTTATTTAATTTATTTATTTTTATTTCGGTTTATTTTATAACCTTTTATCTCTTCTGTCGGACTGTGTGGCTACTTAGCTTACAAAGAACCTGAAACCAGGCTAGCTAAAAGGCAGACTATCCGAGATAAAAATGGTTTATTTTAAAAGAATAATTTTAACATCTCTTATCTCTTCTGTCGGACTGCGTGGCTACTTAGCTTACAAAGAACTTGAAACCAGACTAGCTAAAAGGCAGACTGTCTGAGATAAGGGTGTTTATTGAAAATATTTTTTTGAGGTTTTTCTATTTTTATCTGTTGTATGGTTATGTTATGCAATCAATCAAATGCAGCAAACAAATGCACACACAATATACTCATCCGCGAACAAGTAGGATGACGTTTTTAATTACGAGGTAGGGTTTTCTTGCAAAAGAGTGCATATTCAGGGTAGTTCTAATTTTTCTCACCAAGGCTAGGCCCCCAAGGTGCCCCCATTATAGGGTCCCCACTCTCCAGCCTTCTGACCATGCAGGGCACTAAGGCCTTAGTCAGTCTTTGTGCCAAAAGAGGAAGGTTATCATCTTGAGTGGTGGTTTCCGACCATACCGGTGGGCTCATGACCCTCAGTATGACAAATCGTACCTGCCACCCACTCCCTATGGATTTCCCACTTGCCCCCGGGTATTGGGGGAACTGTTGTGTGCAAGGGTTTGTGTACAACTTGTATTTCAAACAATTGCATAAAATAAACAAACAACAGTTATTAAAGCCAAGCAAATAAAGCATGTTATAAAATAAGGCAGGGTAAAAGAGAAATTTTTTAAGTCTTTTATTTATCAAACTGGTCCATCACTAAATGGGATCAACTCTCTAGCTTCCCTAGTGCAGTCGCCATCTGTCGCCGCCATCAAAAGAGGAGGTCGGAGCGACGTGATGGTTTTTCTTCGACTCGCATTTTTAAAAGTGATGCTACAACGCCTTTAGGTTGTCCGATAACCGGGCTAGACCTAAAGGTGAGGTTTTCGAAAAAGGGTACTGGAGTCGCCACCAATGTTTTATCCGGAAACATTGGAAAAGGAATAAAAAGAAGGCGTTGGTTTAGAAAAACAAACTTTGGCCATTATGACCAGAGTTGGGTAAGAGAGTTAATTACGTGTAGGGAAGGTATTAGCTTCCCTATGATGCCCCTTTCGGGTTCCCTATGATGGACCGTTTATTTTATAAATAAAGAACTCTAAAATTACGCTTTTATCCTTATTTATTCATTTGCAGAATTTAAATTGTTGACTACATGACCCTAATAGCTAATGCACAGATAGATGTAATAAGAAAGCGGTAAAAGAAGATAGAAAATGTAGGAACCTTCGAAGCAAGTTTTGTATTAATGTTCTTGGAAAATAAAAGTGCTTTTTGGCAACCTCCACGCTCTATAGTGCTGATCGCTCTTTCTCGCAACACTACAAGATGCTTACTAAGAACGCTAAGAAACTCTGGACATGCTTCAGAGGGATCGTAGGAGAATAATTTAAAGAAAGTGCAGAAGGGAAAATTGTTCTGTATTTTTTGAAGGATGAGGTCTCACCCCCCTCTTTTATAGATTTTTGCACCTGTCAGGTCGGGACCGCCGTCTCGCCTGACAAGGTCGGGACCGCCATCTCGCCAAATGAGACGGTGGTCTTGCCTTTGGCAAGTGGCGAGGCGGTGGTCTCGCCATTGGCGATTGGCGAGATGGCGATCTCGGCAAACAAGACGGTGGTCTCACCCTTAGCCGATGGCAAGTGGCGAGACGACGGTCTCACCCTTAGCCGATGGCGAGACGACGGTCTCGCCAAACGAGACAGCAGTCTCAGCCCTTTAGGTGGAATTTTTTATTTTTTCCGTACAAAAAACCTTCCTATTCTAAAATAGGGCCTATTGATCTATCCTAGGGACCTTTTAGGCCTTTCCCATCTTCGAACGGAAGTCTTTTGATCTTTATTATGAGGCCGGGTAAGATTTGGGGTATACAACGACCATTATCTAACCAAAAACTCTTTGAATTATTCATTCAATATGGGCATGCCAATATTCCTGTTGTACTCAAACTAAACAACATATCATATGCAGGAAAATCATTAACATTCCACATTAACGCAACTTTCATGATAATTTTTTTTATATGTCATATGTTAACACATCTTCATTCCACAATATTTTTAACTCTTCTATCAATTGTTGCAACTATACATCTATTTAGTAATGCACAATTGACGTGGTAAATTGTAGGGAGTTACAATTACCACTTGACAACAATACGGTTTTCCTAATTGGCCATATTGTGTGAAACCATCAACACATGAGCCTAATCTTACATTTTGTGGTTCATTTGCAAAATTTGGAAATGTTTCATCAGAATGTGTCCATGCTTCTCCATCTGATGGATGACAAAAATATCCCTCCTTTATTTTATTTTAATAATGCCACCTCAAATGTGGAGCAAAACTTATTGAGGCATATAATCTCTTAAGCCTAGGAATGAGAGGTAAATAATGCATTCTCTTCAAGGGAACATTTTTATATTTACCCTACCCACTCTTTTTGTCTTATAATGAGGTTTGTGACAAAATTTACATGTAGCTACTTGTTTATCTTCATCTATGTAGAACAACATACACTCATCCACACAACAATCAATTTTTCTATTGATAAGCCAAGTTTTGAAACCAATTTTAGGTTCTATAGTAATTTTCTAATATACAATTATTTGCAAGATGTGTCTCCTTCAAAAGAGCCAATGTTTGGATAAAATATTGTTGAGACATATTTTCCTCTTATTTAATTTTAAACAATCTAACAATAATCAACAATTTAATGTGATTAGTACATTCTGACCACAATGATTTTATGAAGCATGTGATAAATCATAAAAAAAATTTGTTTCAGTATTTGGAAACTGCTCATATTCTTCAACAAAATGACTCACAAACTCTACACCTATAATATCATGAATCATGTAGTCAAAGTCTCCACTATGACCCTCATGTTCATTACTAGTTCAATTTGGATACATATTATTCATGTCACACAAAGTTGGATCCATCTCACCCTGACATGACCAATACCAATAAGCAGACATAAAACCACGATGATAGAGATGAACTTTAACATAAATAGTCTAAGAAGTTCTTATTTTTAAATTACTACATAGACATCTAAGTTTCCCATTTGACAAGTTTGCATGTTGAAGAGCAAATGACAAAAATTCAATGACACCATTTGAAAACGCATTAGTGTATCCCTTTCCACCAGGTAAAAGTATATTGTACATTCAACTATGATATTCGTGAACATCCATGTTCTGTTATATGTCAACCAATAGGCCATTTAACAAATAATACACTATCGAGTACCCAATTTCGTCTGGGTAGATAAAAATAAAACAATAATAATAATTAGTAGCATTTATTTTGAAAATATAAAAAAAGATAAAAGGAAAAAGAATGAAGAAAAAAAAACAATTCCTTTTTAAGTTGTATACTTCTTAAAACAAGAAAAAAAAATAAAAAAAATAAATGAAAAATACAAATATATATATATATACAAATATATATATATATATATATATATATATATATATATATATATATATATGATCTTGTTACATTTTACTTTTTTTTTCTTTCACTTTTTTGAGCTTGGTACATTATTTTAACTTAAGTTTCCCTAATTTTACTTTAACCTAAACAAATCCATTTAAGAAAGGAGTAGCCATTCCCGGACACAGAGAGTCGGACACAGGGTTAGACACGTTTTTTCTCCACCTTCACTAACGCACTCACTCTCTCGGCCTCACTCTTTTCCCTGTGTGGCGGCCTTGCACCCCAACCCCATTCACTTCTCCTCTCCTCACCTTCACCCTTCCTCACCAACATCTCCACTCTTCTCCCCCACCTTCAACCTCGATTTCCTTACTACCTCACCACAAACACCGTCATCATTCCCTAAGGCCAACCATCACAACTCATCTCCCTCATTATTCAATACTTCCCATCCACGACCACCGCACCTCGAGACGAACCACCCTAGGTGCCGCTCACCCCTCATCTTGACCCTTCTCCTTCACTAGCCGTCGCATTTCCATCTCCCGATCACCAAGCCTCCCATTTCCAGCCCTAGCCCACTCCCATCACCGCCTCCCTAGCCACCACTGTGGCCATCCTAGCCAAACCTTGAATCACCACTTCTTGCCTCCACCACTACACTTGTCATGATAGCCATCACCCCCAAACCCACCGCAAGTCACGCACGCATTCGCGCCTCGCCACCTCCATGAGCCTCCGCAAGTGACCCAAACCACCTCCGTGGACCCTCGTTTCACCGCGCCAACCCACCTCCCTTGTTGAGTTGCACCACTCTAGGCCCGACCTTCTCCTTCACCCTCAACGTCGGCCACCGCGCGACCACGGCCACCTTCAATTGGAGCCACCCATTTCTCCTTCACCAAACCACTCACCAAATCCCTGCCACCACGAGCCACCAGCCGTTTCTCCTTCATCACAATCGGCCAATCACGAGCCTACCTAGAGCTATTGCAAGCTCAATCTGTTAGGTTTCTTGATACTAGAAACTTGATCACTCATCCCATACACACAAAAACAAATATGAATTCCCTTGAGGTATTCCTCTTTAAAACTGAAATAGTCTGGGGAAGATAATTCCCCTCCTCACAGAATCTGTTATGAATCCCGTTTACACCAATACTAACCAAAAGAAAAAAAAACACCCTTTACAAATAGACCCTTCCCTTATTTATAGTCTTCCTAACTAAAGATTCTCACCTCTCAACCTTCTAATAATACCCTATCCTTCTAACCAACTAATTGCCTATTTTATTCCTTCTAACATACACCTTTAGTTTCCTAACATTACTCTCCCCTGCGTTAGCAACCTTCTCCTCAAGATTGAAGTCCGGAAATTGGTGTTGGATTGTAGTTACATTCATACCGTTATCCTTCCACTGAATCAGAACCTGAGGTTGTGAGTCTTCACCCCATGTCAAGGGTCCCATTCTTCTGTCCAAAATCTTCTCTGAAAACCAAATAGAAGCCTTGCCCTATAACTCCTCTGGAAGATCCTTCTCAACATCATATGTACCAACTGCTTTCTTCTGTTGAACATACAAGGACTTGATGTTGAACTTACATGAACATGAAGCTTGTTGCTTTTGATAATGATTCAAGAACAAATAACTTAGAGAGTTGAAAACTTGTATTCTTGTGTAATAACTATGTTTTGATGAGTTTGAGTCTGTAATATTAGAGTCTAAGATAGTCAGTACATAGTCTACTCTTTAGAAGCTTCAAAAACTCATTTTTATCAAAAACTCACGGGTTTAATCGATTAAAAGACCAAATAATCGATTATTACAGAGAGAAAAACCATTTTCTGTATCAGCTCTCTGTAATAATCGATTAACACTGCTGTTAATCGATTAACACTCCTATTAATCGATTAACAGGCCTATTAATCGATTAACAGCGCAAATAATGATTAAAATAGTGCGTTGTGGGTTCCTGTTGATTTTGTCTCTTAATAATCGATTAACACTTGAGATAATCGATTATTTCAGTCATATTTGCATTTTGAACTTCAAATTAAACCTATTTTCGAAAACCCTAGTCCCAATACACCATGTTTCGAAAATCCCCAGTTCCCAAACCCTAATTCATCTACTTAAGTTTCTCTAAGGCTCTCAGAAAAAGAATAACCTTTTTCAAACAAAAGTTGAGAGCTGTGATTGCTAGAGAACTGTTTGTTGGAGGAAAAGGGGGCTTTTGGAACCTGTTGTGGGCTAGAAGCGATAAGAATCACTAAGTGGAGTTCTTGGTGGATTGTGTGATGTGCCGTCTCTAGGGAAAGTTGTTCTTCATCTCTTGTGTGACTCAAGAGAGGTGTTTTCGTTACTCTATATTTTCCATTGTTATCTGTTTGTAAAAACTTGATTATAGTGACAGCGTTAATCCTCTGTTTGAGTGATTAGCAGTTGGATGTAGGGTATTTTGATCCAAACCAGTATAAATCTTCCGTGTAAGACTCTATCCTTATCCTATTTACGTTTACACAACATTTTAATCGGTAAAATTTGGGGAAAAATTTTAAAACCTAATTTTTGTTAAGAAACCAATTCACCCCCCGTCTTGGTTTTTGTCCGTTCACGCAAACATTCCGCTGCGCGATTCTAACAAGTGGTATCAGAGCTTGCTTTGATAGTCATTCAAATTTTTCGAAAATGGCCGGACAAAATCAAACTTTTGCCAAAGGTGTTTCTATCAATAGACCCCCACTTTTTGCGGGTCAAAATTATCTATTTTTAGAGTCTGTTGATAGAGGTGTTTGGGACGCTATTTTAAACGGTCCCTATATTCCTAAAATTTCTAAAAAACGGAGTAGACGTTCCTAAACCATTTTCTAGATGGACGGCAGAGGAAAATAGAAAAACTCAATTTGACGTTAGGGCTAGAAATATTATTTCATCTGCTTTAACCCTTGATGAGTTTTATAGGATCTCCGTTTGTAAAAGTGCTCAAGAGATGTGGGAAATGTTGAGAGTGACCCACGAAGGTACCGACGACGTTATAAGAGCACGAAAAAATTCTTTAATCCAAGAATATGAGATGTTTCGAATGCAATAAGGAGAAATGATATTTGACGTTCAAAAGCGTTTCACACACATTGTGAACCATCTCACTAGATTAGGTAAAATTTTTGACGTTGATGAATTAAATGTTAAAATCTTGAAATCTTTGGATAGGAAATGACAACCTAAGGTGACGACCATCTCGAAGTCACAAAACCTTGCCACAATGTCTATGGCGACACTCTTTGGAAAGTTGAGAGAGCATGAGCTTGAGCTAGGAAGGCTAAATGATGAGGAAGGACAAAATCAAAAGAGGAACTTAGCCTTCAAAACTGAAATTTCCAAAGGTAAGAGTAAAAAGGAAGAAGAAGACTCAGAGAATGAAGAAGAAGAATTGAGTCTTATGATAAAGAAGTTTACAAAATTCATGAAAGTCAAAGGAAGACATCCATTTAAAGGTAAAGGAAAGGTAAGATAAAAATACTTCCATAAATATCAAATGCTATGGTTGTGGTGAAACAGGACATGTGAAGACCGAATGTCCAAACAAGAAAAATGAAGATAATAAAGGCAAAAAGTTCTTCAAGAAGAAAGCCTACATCGCTTGGGACAATAGTGATTCGAGTTCGGAGTCAAGTGACTCAGAAATTGAAGCCAATATTTGTTGAACATTCAAGGACTTGATGTTGCACTTGATGAACATGAAGATTGTTGATTTTGATGATGATTCAAGAACTTAAAGACTTAGAGTGTTGAAGACTTATTTTGTATTGTAATAACTCTGTTTCAATTAGATTGAGTCTATAATAT